TAATTATAGAACCAAAAAGGGTCAAATATCCATGAGAACCAAGAACTAAGCTCTTCAAGAGCAAGATTAGAGCTTTATACCTCAAATGAGTTGGAAATGAAGCAGAAAATCGAGATCTATGAGCTCCTTCTTGAATCACCACCTTGCACTAAATTCTGGTCATTAAATAGATGCAGTCATCGATTCTCCCGAGAGGCTACAAAAGGAGGTAGGGGTGCAGAGACAGCCAGGAGGTTAAGCTTCCCTTCCTCGGATGAGCTTCAAACACACACCAAAACACACTCAATGGACTCACAACACTCTTGGAGGCTCTAGGGTTCGAGATTTGGGTTAGAAGGCTATGGAGGCAGAGAATGAGGAATACACCTGGGACTTAGGGTGTTTAAATAGGTCTCAAAACCTAAAAATTAGGGTTTGAGCTCTACACGTAAATGTGTTGCATTCCCCAAGGGAGCGCCCATGTTCGAGCTCAGCCTCCAAAATTTCAAAATAGAAGAAATAGACCCTTTTCCCATTCCAATTTTGCAAAACAAGGCCAAAAGTAATAACCAAATATATAAGGGACCAAAATAGAAGATTACTAGGATCGGGCATTACACAATGCGGAATGAATCTCCAGGGGATGCAGTGCGTTAAAGTGGGACCCCTACTTTTGAAACCGAAAGTACCTGAAAACATTTAAACAAAAAACTAAAAGCATAAAGTTTAGTGAGTTCCCTAAAATACCACATACCATACATATATCGAGTCTCATGTGACATTCATCGTGTCCCGCCTAACATCGGTCCTTGCCCGATATTCATAATGGGCCCCATCCAACATTCATACAAACACATGCAAGAGTCACGAGATAGATAACATCCTACAAAAATAATCTAACGGGTCAGCATTGGTGCCTTCGACCCATAAGTACAGTGAAGATACTTACCTGAACTACTCAACAAAAGCTTAACAACTACCTCAAAAAAAACACAACCAACCCAAGCTTCCTAAAATCCAAACTAAGACCAATCCTTAGACAAATACTCAATTCTACCCATGTTTTCCTAAAAGTCAAACCGGTCAAAAAGTCAACATGAAAAAGTCAATGGTGAAAGTTGAATTCAGTCAATTTCCATGTTGTGGCCATCCATGACCATGTCGTGGCCCACAAACGACAAAACAGACAATAAATTCCAAATCGCCACGACGTGGAAACCTAAGGTCACGTCGTGGTCTTCAGTCTGAAAAATTTTTTCTTCAATAAGAGCTTAAACCATAAAGACCAAAAATAAAATCATCATATCTAATTCCTAATAGCTTCATGATAGATAATATTTCCAACTTTATCCATTAGGAAGGTCCAAACCACGACTATCTAGACTTTAAATCTCAAAGGGACCCAAAAAATGCATCTTTCTCTACTTAATCCATCTAGTCCAAGTCTCCAACCTTCATATCTAAATCAACATGATGTTTAGATGGATAAAGTTTCCAAATTTATCCATAACAAACTCACAGAATTTCAAGATATAAACTTTAATACACCAAAATGACCTAAAGGACCAAGATAACTTGCATGGATAAAAGGGAAGGGAAAAGATCATAACTTTCCTAATCCATGAGGTCCAAGAAGCATTCCAAATTGATCAAAAGATTTCGGAGTCCACTCAACTCCAAGATCACTCATAATATGGACCAAAAATGCCAAAAACCACAAATAAAGAGATCTAAAGAACTAAAGAGTAAGATTGGAACTTTATATTCACAATAGTCCATAAATGTAGTGCCTTTGATGGATCCAAACTTGGAACATCAATCCTTGCAAACAAAAGAACCTTCTTGATCTTCATGCTTCATCAAAACACCACCAAAACCATCCAAATTATGAGAGGGGATAGATGAGGAACTCAAATCTTGAAGGTGGAGGTTAGGGTTTCCCCCAATAGGCTCTAGAGGTGATGGAGGCTAAGAAAAATACCCTAACACAAGAATCCTTACCTTTAAATACCTTGGAAATCTTAAAAATTCATAGGCTTAGGCTGCACGGTTCTCACATCGTAAGAACATGTTTTCACCCATTTCAATTTCAACTTCAAACAATCATAACTTCTTCGTTTCTACTTCGCTTTTAGTGATATTTATATGCACGGAAAAGTATTGATGAGCCAGCCATAATCCATGCAAGAAGCCCGAAATATTATTTTTCCTATTTTACCATTTTCTTCAAAACAAAAAAATGAAGGCTTTAAATCTTTTAACTAACATTATCAACATCTAATAAGGTCTAAGCTCTATTCTCGTGAAGCCCAGGGCCTTTACTCGATCCATTTATAGGCCATAATCCTGATATAAGAAACTTCGCAAAACATAATGTTACAGGCTTGAAGCTACATCCATGGTAGAAACTGAATTTCGAAATATATGTTTTTTAGGTTCATGTTCTTGTTCTTGGAACGATTACTGAAACCCTAGAAATAGAAAACTAAAGCTGATGAGCAACCTACTGATGAACGATTTCTAGAATCCTTCATCGTCATTCGAGTTTAAAACCATGAATTTGGGACTCTTTAAACCTATGAATTTGGAACCCTTCAAAGTCGTTGGTTTCTGGAGATGAAAGTCATCATAAAAATTCATGTTTGGTTGGATACTCGCTGAAGAAGATAACTGAAGAGTCGCTAGAGATGACAAAGTTATTGGAAACCTTCAATAACAGGTTGCAATGATTTTATGAGCACCTACAACAAGTTAAATGGTATATTGCGTACAAAAAAATGACCACACGTGAACAAAATCAACATTGGGTTACCCTCCCGAATCATTTTCCCATATGCTAAATAACCAAATCAGAAAAATATTGAAAATAGATGGCCTTTTTAATAAGTTTAGCTTTACTTCGGAAATTAAATACAATATATAAGTTTTTTTAATGATATTAGCATTTTAATATCTAATCAAATTGTCAAATATTATATAAGTTAGTTGAAAATGTTTTAATTTTTATTTGTATATATTTGGAAGTTTTTTATTTTAAAAATGGTAAGTTTTGAGAAAAAAATATCGAATAATTAAGTAATAAATATCTCTTTAAATCGATTAAAAATTTATAAATAATTGTATTAATTAATATTTTTTTAAAAATAAAAATATCATTTTAAAAGGTGGGAGATTTAATATTTTAACTAGTTATAACTTATCTTATCTTATCTTATCTTACTCTTACTCTTACTCTTACTCTTACTCTTACTATTCTAATAAATGAATAAGTTTGTCTTTCTGTTGATAAATGTTACAATATTAGAAATCCTTATTAATATTATATTACACCTATCATGCCACATGTCAACCTATTAATTCTTCATTTAAATTTTAAATTTTAAATTTCACTCTCTAATTACATTAAATTAATAATTGATTCTTCATTTCAAATTTCAAATTTCAGATTTTCAATTTTAAACTTCACATTCTAATAACATTAGAATAAAAAATAAAAATTATATATATATATATATATATATATATATATATATATATATATATATATATATATATATAAAAGGTGATATAATTTCATGTATTTATTTAAATCAACGATTATAGTTTTATATAACTAAAAAATATCTCTTATTTAATAATTTTTTTAAAATAAATTATTTGGAATAATTGATTGATAATTTTGATTTTTATTATGAAAATTTAATTAATTTTATAACCAGAGTTCTCACAAATTATAAACTAACTAAATAAGTTATAAAAAAATAAAAACCGATTATAAATCTTCTATTATTCATTACTCATCCAAGGGCCCAGGCCCATTCGTGTAAAGCGTGGTTAAGGTTTAACTATCCTTGTTAGCTCTGAGCCTATATGGGCCTTAAAGTTTAGTAGGTAAACAAATTTGTTGTGGGCTGATGAACTAAAATTTAACAAGGCCCATAAGTTACTTAATAAAGAAACATTTATGTTTCGTCCACTTGGGAGTTTCCAATTTACAAAATATCGATTAGAAAATGTATATAAGTTTATGTTTACATTTCGTTTGATATAAAAATTAAAAAACACAATAAAGTGTTACGTTTGGGTTTAATTGGTCCCCTTTTTTTTTGCACCTTACACTATTAAAGCCAAAATTTACATGTTAGTTATATTTTTTACAGACCTATGAAACAGTCACCTGGTTATTTGATTGAGTGACATGAACATTGACTAATGTTTGAACAGTCACCTGGTTATTTTATATTTTATATTGTATATATTTTTTATATATTATTGGCGTTAATACCCATAAAAACCATGATCTCATACAAAACTCGATCTTTTATAAAGTTATGCAACCTAGGAAACAATATACCTGATAGTAAAGGCCAACCTTATTCCTGGCTAAGAAACAAAGCTTTCAATACTGATCATGATCATGTTGTACAAGTCAATGCATGAAGTACAATCCAGTTCATGTAGGTCCTTATTTGTTATCACTTGGACATGCATAGAACATAAGCACATGGCCTTGTGGTAGTAAAGAAGGAGATACTATAACTATACATCTGTAAATTGACACTATAATTAACAAAATTTGGTCAATTATTCATTCATATTCCAAATATAATTTGATTTAAGATATTCAATTTTGTCTTGGGAACTTCCATGCACATGGCCTACATCCCCTACCATTACCAACCGTTTTTAACACTTCAAAAATCAATGATTATAGCTCAAGAAAATAATTTCTAAATATAATTTGTCAACTCTAAAGTAACCAACTTTTAACGCATAGTCTATGTGAGCGTTTCATAGAACTTTCTTTATTTATTTATGGAAAAATTTTGTGGTATCTTTACGTTTTGAGTCTACACATTGCATTTTTTAACAAAAAAAAACATGAATAATTTAAAATTAAAATCAGTTGGCATGTTTTAAAATTAAATTATTAGTGGTGTTTCTATAAAAAAAAAAAAAAAGGAATTCCTAATGAATTTTCACATAAAAAGATTTTTTTAAGGGCTATTCTGAAATTTGACCTTTATTTATTTATTTATATATAAATATATAGACTTCGTAGAATAATATATTTGAGAGATCAATTATGACCAACAATTCCCACATCAGTTAAGCAGTCTTTGTCAGCAAATATTGTCCCATAAAAGCCTGTATAGCATGTGGATTGTGAATTAACAGGAATTATTATAAGGCAATAATTTCACAAAATGAAAGAGAAACGAACTATCAAGTTTTATGAATGTTATGCAAGTGTTGAAAGTGATTTATCGAATTTATATAAGACGTTTAATTAAAAGATGGAGAAGGTTTTTAAAAAAAAAATGGAAATTTATAAAGTAAAGAAGATAAAGAAATCAATGAAAAGTCAATTGCAGTAGTGATAGTTATTGAAATATTGAGGTTCAGTGGGAAAGATTACATCTTTAATGCAAGTTAGGTCACCAAACAAAATTAAAGACATATTATATTTCAGATGATTTTATGATTTTATACTAGAAAGATGGAATTGACTTCTCAACTAAAAGATTACTACAAACAAAATTATGAACAAAAATAAACAGATGATACATACAGATTTTTGAGAAGGATTATGATCTTTTAAGGCCTTGAGAAAACACCCCATAGCTTTCCACGACCTATGGTCTCCTGTAACTTTCGTGCACCTTCGACTTCCATGTCTACAAGCTTTTGTAAATGCAATAAAGCACCTGAATTCACCATCTGTATGCGGCATTTCTTCGAATGGGTTAAAGACATTAGAATGGAAACAGGGTATTTCTTGTCTAGATTCGGAATGGAAGGATCCAACAGTGAAACTGCACTAACGATTCCTCTTTGTTCCTTTTTGTAAATTCTTCGGTTTCCTGTGTAAATCAAGATTGATGATAATGCCTTTGAAGCTGCTTGTTTTTCTTCAATTGCTTTCCCGTCCAACATTGCTATCAATGGCGGAATGCAACCTTGTTCGCCTAATTCTTTTCTGGATTTGGTGTTACATGCTAGCCGGAAAATTGCTTTAGCGGATTGAATTCGTACACCTAATACACCACAGCTTAATACGTCGATGATTCTCTGTAGAAAATCGTCTGTAATAATGTAGTCCACTAAGCGTTCGTCGGAGGCTAGGTTTTTTAAGAATTCGACTGCCACCTCTAAGCTCCGAACAGAAGGGGCGGAATCCCAGAATGTTCGTAAACTATCCATGGCGCCTTTTCGAACAATTACTAGTTTCAGATTGTCATCGTCCCTAACCAGATTACTCAAACACGAAATTGAATATTCTCGAGCTAGAACAGTTCCGGAACTAGCAAGTGTTAGAAGTACAGGAGTTGCATCTTCTTCGAAGAAATTCTCTCTGGTATCAGCGAAATTAGCTAAGTTCCGGAGTACTCCGGCGGCGATGGCTTGTGAGCTTGGAGTTCCAGCCAGGCAAATCTCGAGTAACGATGAAATCCCACCTCGAGACCCAATTGCCCTTGCATTTTCTTTGGTAGTGGATAAAGCATTAAGCGCGATACAAGCTTTTTCTTTAGCGAATCCGCTACCTGATTCGAGAACTCGTAGAAGATGATGGAGCAACAAAAGTCCTTCGGCGATTAATACGTGTTTGCTCGAATCAACTGTTGAAACCCTAGCAATGGCTGTTACCGTTTTTTCCTTGATTTCCGATGTTGAGCTGGAATCCAGTAGACGTACGAGCACGGGAACCACTCCCTGAGCAACAGCGATCAACACGTTTTTATCATCTTCTTGAAGTAACCCCAAGGAGCGAGTCGAGAGCCGAGTTTCTCGACTCAGTCGACCCGATCTGCAACCGAGTTATCAAATTCCTCGACTCGACTCGTATCGATTCCCTCTTTGAAACTGACGCTGAGCTGGTGGAAACAACGCCGTCGTGGAGAACACCGCTTGTTATTAACACCTCGCAATCCTTGATGTGGCTATCAACTTTCGCTGAGATCGAATCAACATCGTTTTGTGTCTTCAGCTTCCCGCCGGGGAGGATTGGCGCTGTGACAAATGAGTGACAAGGAAAGAGCTTGAGAGAGTGTTTGGGCGAGGGAACGGAGGATATCGACGGAGAGAGGGTTGGAGGGAAAGTCGGAGAGGTCGGAAAGTTTGGATTTGAGATCGGAAAGCTTCGTTCCAATGAGAGACCATTTTCCTTTGAAGGATACTGTGTGAGGGATTGAGTCGAGTAGAGATTGAAGAAGCTGGAGGTTAGAAGCCTCGACGACGTCGGCTTCATTTTCCGACAGCTTCATTACCGGCGTTTCGGTCTGCAAGGTCGGTGTGTTGAAGGTGGAGGAAGAAAAGAGTGAGATATGATATGACTATGCGAAGTTTCATGTTAATAATGGCGGATGATAAGTTCAATGGCCCAAACGCGAGTGAAACACACGCGCTCCGTTAAAGAGAGGTTAAAATGGCACCATTCCATAAGTTGATCCTGTGATTAAGTAATTATTGTAAATCCGGTTCCAAAAAAAAAAAGTAATTATATTTTAATATGATTTAAATATTTTATTGAGAAATTTATGTATTTTCAAGTCTAGTTAAAAAACAGGAAAAAAACAAGAGAAAATAGGGAAAAGGATAACAACTTTTGTTTGCGTGTTCACTTTGAAAAGAAATCAACGAAAAGGCAATGTTGCATATCTTTATGTTCTAAAGCTGATAGAGTAAAAAAAATTGTTAAATTTGTAGTTATATTTTTCCAATATGTGGATAATCATGACTTACCTAACCGTAGTCATTTAAACAAGAATTTCATAATATATTTTTAATATCGCTTTAATTTTTTAAATTGTTGTGTAGTTTTAAGTATTGTTTGTTTTTTCGAAGCAAAAAATCATGAAGTATGCGGACAACCTCTGTAATCTTCTGTAGCAGAAAAGGTGAAATAAAAGGCTCCAGCTTATAATAAGAAATATGTTTATTTTTTAACCTCTGCAGTAAACTGAAATTTAAATAAACTAATTTTATAAACTGAAAATAATTCTCAAAACCGAAATTTTAATAATTCTAGTCTTAAAACATTGAAAGACTACTAAAAAAATAAAAATATAACACTTAAAAAAAAACCTTACAAAAATATAAAAGAAGCTAACAGTTTTAATCTAGAAAAAAAAAAACTAGTTTTAAACAACATAAAAAAAATAATTAAAAAATTAAAAAAGTATTGCAAACGATATCTATAAAGTTCGTAAAAAAATTACACACGTTAAAAAAGATGCAACTGAAACTAAAAATATTATTACCAGAAACAATTAAAAAGTAATAAAAAAAAATTTATGGAAACTATAAAAAAAAAAGTTGTATCAAATCCGTATATAAAAGTTAAAAAAATCAAAGTTGTAAAAAAAGTTATACCAAAATCTACAAAAAAAAAAAAAAAAAAAAAAAAAAAAAAAAAAAACTGGAAAAAATGGAAGTCAAAGATGTTTGAAGAGTCAAATCAAGTGTTGCATCATGCAGCACACGCACAGAGGTTTTGTAGTCTGAAGCCTTCCAAAAAACAAACTGTTTCGACAGTGAAAGTGTTGTGTGTGTACTACGCCGCGTAGCAGAAAGTGGTTTGAAGAGGGTTTTTTAAGAAAACAAACAGCACCTTAGACTCCCACGACAATAAATTTAGGAGACAATTACAAAAATAACATAATCCCTTAATTATTTTAAGGAAGATAGCCAAAAAAAACTCAAATTACAAAAATAACCATTAAAATTACAGATGAACTCAGTCTATCTGTGAATTTACTTGTTCATCTGTGATTTTGCGTCCATCTGTGATTTTCCCTTTTTCATGAGTATAAAAACGTAATTTTTTTTTTCTTTCATTTTTTAAACCTTTTTTTGAAGAACTCTCGTCGGATGCATTATAGACGATTTCATTTTTCAAATATTTTTCAAAGTTTTTCTTGGAGAATTTATTTTATTAGAGATGTTTTAAACAAATATTCCAAAGAAATAAGAACTAAATTGATAATTTTTTGCAAAACTTTATATATTATAAGGTAGTTTCATAGTTAAACCTCATCAATTTTGTAATCAATATTTAAAAAAAAAATCATAAATTAAAAAAAAAAAAACAAAAAATCAAGGGTGGGATGAGAGGAAAGCGCAAATGAACTTAGTTCATCTGCAATTTAGTCAGAATGAGGGTATTTATACGGAAAATAAAAACAAACTAAAAAAAAACTCGTGAACGTATAAGTTGCTAAGCACGATTGTGTTTTATTCATCTGCGATTTTCATAACTATATTTGTAATTTGTGTTTTTTTGGATAATTTCCACAAAGTAGTTAAGGAATTTGGCTACATTTGCAATTTTCTCTAAATTTCATAGTAGATGATATATTTGGAGAGAATTTTTAACAATTATTTGGAGATGATTTTATAAAATCATGTGTTATACATATCATCAATCATTATAATAGTGGACGTTATATGATCACCACTAGCTAGCATTAAATATGTGAGATACCCACCATTACAACTCTCCATGTCATTTTTTTTCTAATTAAGTTTTATTCAAAAATATATTAAAAACATATTTTTCTTAAATACTAGTTTTTTATTAAATTAAAATATCTTATTACATTAATTAAAATAAAAAAGATAAAAATAGCAATAAAAATAAAACACCTAAAAATTTCAAGCATAACTAAAAAAAATTACTCATATTCCTATATTGGACTCGAACTGACTTTTTCATCGCGAGAAAATCTCCAAATCTTCGCCTTCGAGATTGTCCACCTTCATCTTCAAAATCTCTATGTTGGTTTTTGTTTGAAGCGTCGTTTGCCCCTTTTGGAATGATATTTGCGCTTCTATCATTTTTTTCCACCTGACTGAGCATCTCCACATTGGTTTCGTGAATGTGAACATATCGATCAAATTTCTCTCCAAAATGATCGATAACACTTGAAACCAAAGCCGACAAACCCACTTTTTTGCTTTATTTCTTCCAACTGGCCGACATAGAGGTTGCTCGGCTTCAAGATCGAGTGGATCATCATTGTTTTCGATGTGTGTTCATCTGTCCGATTTGTGAAGTTGCATTCAGATTTCTTGAACGATTTAAACTGGAAGAGGTTTATGAAGTTCCTTCTGTTTGTTGTATCCATTTTGGAGCGTCTTTCAATTTTAGTCACACTTTCACATACGAAAGAGCTTTACAGGTTGGCGTTGTTTTTTCAAATTGTTCAAAGGCCACCTAGAAGACATCGAAATCATTTGACCTGCTTGTGCATATGTTTTGGAGGTTGTTGTAAATTCCTTCAAATTCGATGCATTTTAGTCGAATATCATGTCACTTGGAGCTAATTTGTTCAGGATTTCGATTTTCATTTCCCGTTAACGCATAAAACATGCTTCTAACATTCTCCCAAAAACAATTAAAGGTTTGGTTGTCTCCTTAAATTGGGTCTTGGGAAGCCGAAACCCACGTCTCTGCTTGCTTTTCTGCTTCCTCTTTTGCCCATGCCACCCTTTATTGGGTAGTAGTGGGTCACGCAGTTTTTATCCTTTCTTCTTTTGTGGTTGAGGTGGTAGTAGTGAAGGGTGCATTTCTGAAACGAAATTCAGCGAATGAGGTGGTTTGATTATTGTGGTTGTGACAATTGTGGTTAGAATTATTGTTGGAATTGTTGAAATTTGTGGAATTGTTGTTGAAAGGTCGGGAAAGGTTGGTATTGTCATTAAAAAAGTAGTATTTGTTGGATAGAGGAACCGGTTTGAAGGAAATTGACAAAACCATCTTGAGGTGATTCCATGATTGGGAATTGGTGAAGGGTAGTGAAGGGTCTAATTAATGGTTTGGTCTACGTTTTCGTTGTAATAGGTTCTTTTGTGTATGAATGCGATTTTGGTAGCCTGTTTTGTAGTGTACGGCCAGAGTGTGAGTTTACGGCCGTAAGCTGTTTACGGCCGCAAACCTAGTGTCGGCCCATGTCACTATATATAGAGGTCTTGTAGGTCTTTGTCACACCCCGAAACCGATGGCGGAAACGTTCCGGGTCGGATGATGTCATGTAAAGTATCACAACCAATGTACATAGTAAGCATAGTAAACACAAAACATTACATTACATAGGAATAATTACATTTGTTTGAAAGTAAAGTAATACATGTTTATCTATACATAAGTTTGAACAAAAGTAAAGACGTGACTTCTAAAACGCTCCTTCTTCTCCAAAAGATCACGGGGTACCTAACTAAAGTGGACCTGAGAATACAAGCAATTTGAAAATCAGCATAAAGCTGGTGAGTTCATAAGAGGTTTGTTTTCTGAAAATGAACATGTTTCCTTTGGTTTTTGAAAAAGTGGTTATCCAAGAAAATCTCATATTTTCTTCTAAGTAAAGTTTAGTTATCCGTTTGTTACACGATATGGTTATGTACAGTTTGTTATCCCAGGAAAAACCCTTATTTTCCTTAAAAGTTTGTAGTTGGTTATCGGTTATGAATGTAATGTACAAGTATCTATCATACTTAAAGTGTTTGTGTGAAGTTTCCTGAAAACCCGGTTACCCTTGAAATGTATGATAGTTTTAACACGTATATAAAACTATTGTGTGAAAAGTAAACTAATTCATAAGGTTATTAGTTTACTAGATCCATTATTACCAGCAAGTAAATCTCTGTTATCTAAATTGCGAGTTCCATAACCATACGATAGACTATATATGGCAATAAGTAATCCATTATCATTTTATGAGTTTCGTCACCCTTGAACCCTTTTGGTTCGACTGTAGCTAGCAGCGAGGTGCAAGGTTGTCAATCCCGTATAGATCTATACACTCAAGTCACGCTCTACCTCCAAGAGATTTTGGTTATGGGGGCGGTCCTCCACTCGCGTATCTCTGTGGAGTGTTTCCGAGGACGTGTCTCCAATTATTAAGATTAACAAATTTACAAGTAATAATGTGGAAAATCTTGTTTGTGATTCTAGTAACAAAGGGGGTCCTCCACTCGCGTATCTCTGTGGAGTGTTACCGAAGACGTGTTCTAATGTTCTAGGTTAATGATTTTAACATAAATGAAGTGGAAAATCATTGGTGAAACATACAATATAACACTGTATAATCAGGTTTGCAATTAGTTTGAAAACTAACTCTGCAAGTCAAACAGTTGGTTAAAAACGTTTTCCAATGTTAAAAGTATATGAATTATGAAACAGTTCAAATGAAATAATAACTTTAAGTACAATATATTCTTGTACTTTTGCTTGTATCCCCCCCCCCCTTG